CCCTAATTTAAACGCATGTTAAGCCGTCACTACAAAAACTAAACCTGCAGCTTCGTCGTCTCATCTCCATCGAGCTTTTTTTTTTTCTAAACAATTGGTGCATGCAGTTAGACAGTTTCAATTTTACAATTTACTGTGAGTTATTTGGCCCCTTTTTTCTTAGCTATAAAGCACATAAGTTAAATAGCGAAAAAAAGAATAAAAAAAAAGAAACAGAAAATCTGATCACGTACTCTGCTTATTGGAAAAGCATTTCTTAAGAACTCTATCATAAAACAGCAAGCTAGGTTTAATTAAGGGACGTGAGTGTACTGACACAGTGACGGACAGAAGAAAGAGTCTGACAGAAACTGCCGATTATCGAATAAAATTTTTGCTACAGTTTTAGTCTCATGTGTAACTTTAACGAATCATTTAGCCTGATTTATTGATTAGAGAAGACGGTTTTTTACGATTACTGCCATATTAAGAAAAGCGAATCCCAGGAAATATTAACTGCATCATAGGCAAATAGCACTGAAGCAAATGGGATACGAAAAAATCGGGCAGCAAATATTTTATTCCTAACTTTCACTTATTTCTACGGACCTAGACGGTCACCATGCTTGTCCATTTCTTTCAGTAATTATTGTTTAACAGAATTTGCTGGGAAAATCATAATCGTATGCGGTAAAAACTTTGGAATGGTTCTTTTTAAAAAGGTTTTCATCAAAGATAATGCTATGACTCGCATTGTCAGTGGGAAGAACTCCTCGATTTACGGATATGGTGTCAAGACAATATTTGCGTCTTAACAGCGATGAAATTGTGATGAAGTAGCGGATTGATGGCGCGCAAGGGCAGCTTTGTTAAGAGGGACATTTTAAGTTAAGAAAACGCAGCTTATAAAGTAATCATCGTAAATCTGCAAGAACTTTTTGTGAGGGTTTAATAAATTATTGCTTTGAAATCCGTCATTAGATTTCGCACATAGCCGGTACAAGAAGCACTCAACCTTTAGCAAACATTTCTTGATGGGTTATCAAATTGTAAAAAGTACACGAACGTTCTTTCAGAACTATTTTTGCCACTTCCAGTAACGTCTGAACCAAAAAAGAAAATTTTGGGGGAAGAGAAAAGCCACCATATTTAAGACAACTGATTAATTAGCGAAATAAGAAAGTTAAACTGATAAGAATTTTGCTTCTTACCCTAGTTGACCAATTTTTTTGTTATTACTAGTAGAACACTGTTACTCATTGAAAAAGTTAAGCATTTTTTCTTGCAGAGACAGTTTTTTCGAGATTAAAAAACTGTTAAGAGCTGAGTAACAAGCTCGTAACAATTACGCCTCTTGATGATAGGTACATAATTTTGTTCATTTTTGACGCTGTTGACTGTTAAAGTGGGAGGGATGCGCGACTAGATTCCTAGAGGGATAATACATCTTCTTATTCAAAAGACCTAAACAGTTTCAATATACGCATTTAAGGTTATTGATAATAGAGCAGAAGGCTTAACATATATTATGCAACAAGCATCTTCCGGTGACTTCCACCAGAATGTGTTATTTTATTAACTTTCTTAACCAGATCTAAGTAGGGCTAGAGCTTTCCGGAAGTAGCTGTTAAGCTGTTACAACCGGGAAATATTTAGGTAATGAGGTGTTAAAGTTTTAAAAAAGGATATATTAAGACGGACAATTATGATCTCGTGCGATTTCCTTGAGTGAACGATTTTCAGTTTCTCAAGTGACAGTTTGCAATCCGTTGTAACAAGCAGATTTGGGTAACCGGAATGAAACTTTACGCAGTAAACTGCAACCTGCTTTTACTTCTACGTACGCTAGCCACTTCTTCCACGAAAGGCCAAACAAGTCCAGCTTTTTTCAGTATTTGGCCGGTAGTAGGGGAACTGTGAGACACCACTTTTTTCTTTTCACTCGTTTACTGTCTTTACTGCTATTGACCGGTGCTGTTCCAGTGTCTGCTTTTCCTTGGAAAAAGCAGATTTTTCGTTTTTTGTATCCTCCTCCGCCCTTGCGGAAATATCCTTCACGGGAGCTAAAAGGCTATTTTTCTTGAGTTCCGATTTTGAGATCAATGAACCACACTGTCAGGACCCTCAAGCGTTCAGTTTTTGCATTAAGGTCAACAATGGTAACTCAACCAGGATTCTCTATAAGTGTTCAAGCGGTATAAAAAGAGAGTTGGATGTATTAGTAGGGCTTTATTTCATTTTTCTTGATATTTGAG